AAATATAATTATTGTACTTTTATCCTATGTACAAGATAGAAAAATCCAAAAACTATTCAGTAAAATAAAACTCAAAGGACTGAGTTACATGATATGTCTGAGGCAATCTTATTGGTTCGTGAAGAATGGTTCTTCGAAGACCACCAATACATGACATACGCCTTTTTGTTTCAAAATATGAAGTTTTAAAATATTTTTTTACGTATTTTTAAGTAATACTTTTTTATAATAAATAAATGATAATTAAAATTTTTTTAGTAGTTCTTATTAGGTAGTCTTATTTGATAAAAGAATTTAATTATCATTAATATATTATTAAAAAAATATTACTTAAAAATGCGTATGAAAAGGTTAAACATTTTATATTTTAAAACAATAGGAGCATTTATTTTCCTAAATATATGCATGACAAAGAACGTTCTTTCTTAATTTTTTTAAAATCTTTTTTAATATATTTTCCCTTTAATTACCTAAAATGTAAGTAAGAATATCGATTTTACTTTTAAATACCAATTAATTACAAAAAAAAAAAGATGGATAAGATATGAGAAATTAAAGTATATATCATAAATATTACATTAATTAAACCACATGGTTTAAGTATAATAAAACCAATGCAATAGGAGACATGAAGCAAAGAAATTAACAACAAAAATAAACAACAGTACTCTCATAAACAATGTGATTGTAAGAAAATCGTGAACCTTGCGTGTTTAGGGTGCTCAAGCTTTTACAATGTCTAGGATCGTTTCACAAGGATCGATTGCCTGCAGGCTGCAACTCCCACTTGTTATATTTTACTCCTTAATCAAAAAGTTGCGAGTTTACTCCCTTAATCACAAACCAACTTATAGTATGTCTAAGTTGAAAGGAATAGAAGAAAGGAAAAAGTTTTTTAACTAATTAATCTAATTATAACGTTATTAAAATATTATAATTTGATTAGTTAAAAAATCTTTCCCTCCCTTCTCCTCCATTTTCCTCAACCCAAACATACAATTAAGCATTCTGTTAACAACATTTTGTCATTTTCAATATTGATGAAAAATACTCAATGCCTTCTAAATTATTAGTATCTCATTGATCACATGATGATTTCCTTTTATAGTGCACAAGGTGATTGATTATATGAGAGCGGATAGTACTTCACTTTTCCCAAATCCTTTCCTACTTAATTCAAAATTCAAATTTTAAATTTTAAATTATTAACAAATTGAGGCATAAAAATAAGGATTAGTTGGTGACATTTAGGGGCATAATTAGTTCATTCCATTTTTTTTAGCAAACTTGCAATTATTTTTTTCATCTAAAATTAAAATATCTTTTTTTGAATGATATTTTATGGTTTGTTTGGTATCCGTGTAGAAAATTTTTTATTTTGAAAACTAAAAATAGTAGTTTTGATAAGTTGCAAAAACTAGATGAATGATTTTCAAATAAGAATATGCATTTTTACAGTCTTGTACTTTGTTTAAACATTGATAGAGAGGTAGGTTTTAATATCAAAGGCTTACTCCTCTATCAATGGGTATAAGAAGGCCGCCCTTTACTCCACTTGTTAAGATCCATTGTTGGTTAGGATGGGTTGCTTGTAACTCCATTTGAATCCCATCCAACTCCTCCTTGAATTCATCTTTGGAACTCGCATATAACATCTTATTTCTCACTGTAGTCACAAAACCTACAAAATATATATTGATTTGTAAAATAATAAATATAAATTACAATGAATTTGAAAGAAATGGGAAACAATTTGTTGGTTTGGGGTGTTACAATGTACACGCTTGAATTTTAAATGATGGCACATTCTAGAATAGTATGATCCTTTGATTGACAATTGAATTTAGAGGGGCAAGGGTCTTAGCTTGATCTTGTCCTTTAGGGGATTTGAGATTTATTTTTGAAACTTTTCCTCTTTGATAGAGAGTTGAAACCTTCCTTAGTTAGGACTTAGAACTTTGAGAATTGTCGGGAGGCTTGAAGCTTGCTATTCCTCTTTTTTTCTCCTTCTTCTCTTTTTCCCCCTTTTTCATCAAATGAATGGCCTATTTATAGCCAAAGGAAACTTGCCCAATGACCTCAAATACCCTTACTTTAAGGATAATTTAATCGTTTCATAAATAAATTTATTTTAATTTAAGAGAAATTTTCTCTTTATAGATTTACCACCCTAACTTCCAACATTTTATTGTGGTAAAATATCTTAATTTAAAAAATTAGCTAATGTCTTCACCCACCTTTGATTGATATATCAAGCACCCTGCAACATATATTATAATTAAATTTTGGTGTGCCTCTTAATTTACGTATTTGCAACTATAGATCGGTGAAAATTAATCAATTAATAATCACTAGGCAATGAAGAAGATTTTGCTTTTTTGGCAATTCTCATTCATGTTGAAATTTGTTGAGTGAGAAAATTTCACATTGAAAATAAAATATGTAAGTTAAATACAAAAAAAATCACCTCACTTTTAAATTATATATAAATTTTGTATTGAAATCCACATAATAATTTTTACAAAATCAAAATCATAGGCTGCATATCGACATTCCTTCTCAGGAAGAGGAGAAGCGAAATCCTCGTATAGGATTCCTAAGGTTGTCCCAGCTTGTCTATCACCCCCTGCTCGTCTTGAATCTTGAAGTTAATGAATAGGTAGTTGCTCTTTGCCTTCAGCTAGAAAACTTGAGAGTTTACAGTTGTCATGGATAATCATTCGAGAGCTTCTAAATATTGAATTACATATCTTAACTATATATAAAATTAATGTAACAATAAAATTATTCTTAAAATTCTTAAATAAATACTCAATGGGTTTTAAAAAAAAAATCATCAATAAAAATACCTACTGGGTTTAAAATTTTTAAGATAAGTACTCATTGGACTTTAAAAAAAAAATCATCAATAAATCCCCATTGAATTTAAAATTTTCAAATGAATACCTAGCTTAATTAACTAAGAATTCATATAATAGGAAAAAATCTCTAAAATACTATGAGTAAGAATCATTCAAACATATATTTATTAATAATATTAATAATAAGAAATAAATCTAAAATACTCCACTTAATTTACAAATGTTTGTAATTATATACTAATGAGATTGTTGGTCCCACAATTATAGAATATTAGGACTATTAAAATATAATAAGTAAATATTATAATTATATAAATACCCATTGGACAACTGTATAAGCCCTCAATTAATATTAGGATGTGGGTCCCACAAATAATATGCTACATATTCTTGGGACCCACACTTAATAACAGAATAGTGACTATTACAATTCAATTTTAAATAAAACTTAATATCTTATTCATCTAAAATTAAAATTTTTTATTTTACACTACAAATTTATATATATATATATATATATACACTTTTGTTCACCCTACCCATTCCACCAATTTTACTTGTTTATATATTTACGTAGTCTCCCTAAGAAAGGATGAATTAACTAGTGCAAGTCTACTTTATAAAAATACTTTATAAATATACTTTCTAGCTAACTTACTTTCTAGCATGTTATATGAGATGGTTAAATCCTACTTTGAGTCACTGAATTCTGATACTGTTTCGGTTTTTTTGTGTTCGGAAAGTTATTGATGTAGTTAGAGTTTAATATTAGAAATATCTAAGGTTATGATGGTGGAAGTGTAGGTTCGAGATCAATGATCTCAAACATATTATGAGCAAGACTGTCAATCATTCTCTCGTGCCAATCCCAAACTCAAATTGCTTTATGACCGATGTACAACTTAGGTCAAGCTCTTCTCATTTTCACGATAATTACAAAAAATTCGTACTTGCTTAATCTTTGTTTCCAAGATGTTCACTCTAATTACCACAGGCCTCAACTATTTCGCTAAGAAGAACACATGAACCTCCCATTGAGGCCTATAAATACCCTCAAGGGTCCTTTGCAAAAAATAATTAAAACTGACTTGATCTTTGCAAAAAATAATTGAAATCGACTTAAAGTTTTTATTTCGTTTTCTTTTGAGTAGACCAAATTATTATTGACTTAATGATCAAAATGTCCAAGAATGCTTTACAGATTATTCCGAAGAGAAGATTTGGACTGGAAGTAGCTTAAAGGTTTGTTGCAATTACAGGTAGAAAAGCATCCATATATTATATGGCAAAAGTATATGATTAGTTTTTTATAAACTGTTTCATTCTCTATTATCAACAGGATTTCTTGCAGGATTTTTTGCAGCTTCATATTTCGTAAGCTGCTTTATATTTCTGAAAATTAGTCAAGATATTATTTCAATTTCAGGATTTATTTTCAATTAATCAATATGTATGCCCCTTTCTTTTTTGGTTTAAGTATCATTTTGGTCCCTCAACTTTTCACTTTGTATTAAAATTGTCCTTCAATTTTAAAAAGTATTAAAATTATCTTTAAATTTTCATTTTTGGTACCAAAATAGTCCTTCCATCAGTTCAGTTAAAAGACAGGTGTCACGTTAACTTTACCAGCAAATCATTTTTTTTTTTTCTTAACTAATGACGTGGAAAAAAAAAACATAATTGACCTATGAGTTGGCATTTTTATTTAATTTGAAAATAATGATTTTTTTGTCATCCACGCCATCTCTTATTCCTCTTTCACTTTCTCTCTCATTTACCTTTCCTTTTCCCTTACCTCTGCGAAACCAGATCTGGGATTTGGGTTTCTCTCTCAAACTTCATCTTCTTCCTCCCTTCCTCCTCCCTGCTCATCCTTCTTCTTTCTTCTTCTTATTCTTTCTCTCTCTCTTCTCCCTTCTTCTTCCTCTCTCAAACCCAGATCTTGTTTTTTCTTCTACGGCGGCATTTAAACCTTTTATTGAAATCACAAAATACTAAACCAAATGTAGCAGATATTAAACAAAAGTCAGCTCAAACAAAAGGTAAACCCAATGTTGAACTTTAAAGCACAAATTAGAACTTAACAAATTAAAAGTGGCATATCAAAGAGGAAAAATAGTGTTAAAATAGTCAAGAATGGCTAATGACAGATACAATGCATCACAGAACACTGAAAAAAAAAATCAAAACTTTAATGGACAAGCATAATGTAGATTGAGGGTTTCAAAACACCTTCCATAGACCCTACAAGGGTCTTTCTGGGGTGGGAGAGCAATCAACGATCTTCAGAAAATGCTCAGGCTCCCACTTCCTCCTTGGCTGTCGCTCCTTCTCCTTCCTCTTCTGTTTCTGCCAGGATTTATCACTGTTAAGGCTCGTCTTGTTTGCCAAATGTGATACATTTCTGATAAGAAACGGTTTGGCAAGCTCCCAAGGTACCCGCTTTCAGCCCCAACATTCACTTCCTCACTATCTTCCCCTTGCAAATTCTCTGAACTCGAACTCCTTTTGAAACCGTTCCTACCTTGCCTCTCTTCTATGTTCTCATAGCTAAAACTTACATTTTCTTCAACCAAGACGTGGCCGCTACCCATGAAATTGACGTTCATCGAAACCAGATTTTGATCTAAACACATGAATTCAAGCCAGCACTCAAAATTTCAGGACAAGATTTCACTATGCCCCTCTAGATCAAGAAAATTCGCGATTAAAAGAAACCATTAGCTTTTTCCTGCCACTGATTCACTACCGCAGAAGGCATTGATTCCGACTGAGAAAAACCCAGATCTGGGTTCGAGAGAGGAAGAAGAAGGGAGAAGATAGAGAAAGAAAGAATAAGAAGAAGAAAGAAGAAGGATGAGCAGGGAGGAGGAAAGGAGGAAAGGAGGAAAGGAGGATGTTCAAGTACTTGGCCGGAGTGGACATGCCATAGAACCCAGATTTGGGTTTGATCAAACCCAGATCTGGAGAGGAAGAAGAAGAGGGGAAGAGAGGAGAGAGAAAGAATAAGAAAAGTTAAAAAAAGTCATGTGGGCCCTATTAAAAGGGAAAGTTAAAAAGGTGATAATATGATGTGTAAAAAAATATGCCACGTGTATAAAAAAAATGTCATGGTAACAAAATTTTTTTAATTGGATTTACACATCATTAAGATTCAAAAAGTCTAATGATTTTGTGGCATTTTAACAAGCTACCTGTCATTTAACTGAGAGAAGGACCATTTTGGTATCGAAAATGAAAGTTTGAAGATAATTTTGGTACTTTTTAAAGTTGAAGAACAATTTTGGTGACAAAGTGAAAAGTTGAGGGACCAAAATGGTATTTAAACCTTCTTTTTTAGTGCTTTGATCAAGGGAGTTGATACCGTACCATACCTGTTGTTATGATTAGTACGTATTGGTTTTTATATTAAACCAAAATTGTACATGATCTAATTTTGTTTTGGTCAAATTTTGTTCGTTTTGGTTAAATTTTGTTTGTTTTGGTCAAGTTTTGGTGTACCGGCTGATATTTCAACGTACCGACTAGTACACGAAAATTGATCTGTACAATTCAATTTAAATTTAAAAAAGATAAATTTCATTTTTGATCCTCAACTTTAATATTTTACATAATTTTCATCATTTAACTTTTTATATACTTTTTTAGTCCATCAATTATTAAAAATGTTTTTTTTTTAGTCTTTTTATCAATTACTCTGTTAAGTTTGTTTAAATATACACATTTTTAGTCTTTTAACTTAAAGTAGATAGATGAAAAATAAGCAAATATTAGAAGTTGAGGGACTAAAAATGGTCATTTTAAACTTGATTTCAATTTATAGGAATATGATGGTTTTAAACATTAGTATCTCTTATTTTATTTTAAAATTTGATATTTAATTTGTAAAAATATATATTTATAGCGATAAATTTGAAACGGTATACAAAAAACTTCAGTATCCGGTATATACCGTTCCAGTAGCAAAACCGATATATTTGCCGGTATGGTATTGACAACTTTGGTTTTGATGGTAAGGATGACACTAATGTCTCCAAGAATGTTGGTGACAAAGTGAACACAAATGTGAGTACAACTTCATAAGTAGTAGGATTACCTAAAGGTAGTCAACCAAAGAAAGAAGTAAAGGGAAAAATGCTCCGAAGACGAATAGAAAATGGAAGGCTTTCTGTTTTCGGGCTACGTTCTGGACACATAAGTTGTTAAAACAAGGTAGAACTTCCAAATCTACCCTTAAAAAATATCAATAGGGACAGATCCCTCCCTCACAAAAACGAAGGGACAAATCATAAATCAAGACAAATCACCCATTTTTTAACGAAAAATGTCAGAATTTTGTTTGCCACATCAACATTTTTTAACGGAAAACCTTAAAAAAAGGGTAATCTGTCGTGATTTATGATTTGGAGAGGCAATTTGTCTTTCCATTTTTGGGAGGGGTGAATCTGTCCCTACCAATATTTTTTAAGGATGAATTTGGGGGTTTTGCCTTCAAACTTGAGAGCAACAAAATTGAGCGTGAAGAAATTAAATAAGTGTGGGTGAAATAACGAAAAGGTTTAACTTTTAATTTGGTCTCTTAATTATATATAGACCCCAATTTAGTCCATAAACTAAAAATATCTTTCATTTAGTCCTTACTGTTTCCAAATTTAGACCCAAGTTAATTTTTCTGTACAAAAGTAGTTAACATGTCTTATTATTAACGTGAAATATAGTTGTTAAGTAATGATTTTTAACTATTAAGTAATAGATATATTAATTATTTTTTAATGGAATGATCAAATTGGATCAAATTTAAAAATAATAAGGACTAAATCAAAAATTTTTTAATTTAATAACCAAATTAAAGTCCATATAATAGTTGAGGGATCAAATTGGGCTCTAACCTAAAGAAACTACCTGCAGAAAGAGAACTTCTTATGTAATAACTAATTCAGAGCACATTAATTTTATTATTTTTCTAGCTATTAGCTATTGTGTAATTTACCAACAAAAAAGAAGTTACAGTATAATTTTTTTTCTGTTAATATTGAGGTCGTCCTCTCGGTTTATTAGTTTGGGACTGATAAGTGAACTTACCCTTAATATATTGATTTTTTTCTTTTGTAGGCAATGAGAACTAATTTAGACTTAATTTTATATCAGTGGAGTTTCATTATTTAATTAATAATTTGAATTCTTTTTAAATCGAATTATTTTATATTTTGTTTAATATGATTGTGATTTTGAGTTTTTTTTTTCAATTTTGGTTTTTAAAAATAAAATTAAGTAGTTTTATAAATTAATTAAGTTTGGAGATTTGAGTATTTATTTTTAAATTTTATACTCAACAAGTTAAAATTTTAATTTTTAATTTTGGTTTTAATTATCAATTTTAATTGTTAGAATTTTGAAATTTAAAACTAAAAACTCAAAATCGCAATCATACTAAACGAATCCTTAATAATTTGGTGCTTTAGTTAAATTTGATTTCTAAACTTTAATTAAACTAAGGAAAGCAATAACCTTTAATTGATGAATTGATTTTGTTAATAGGAAATTAATAAGCTTTTGGTTTTAATAAAACAGTGATTTGATTAAATTTGATTTCAAAACTTTAATGACAAAAAATAAGGCTAAGTGGGGAAAGCACTACAAGAATTTTAGAATTTGCCGGAAACTTTATTTCAGGCGCTTATTAAAATTGTAACCTGCGGTAGAGTGCTGTTTGGGCACTTTCATTTTTACATTTGAAAATGTTATTCATTTCCCGCGCTTGAATAGTGCCTGTAAATTAAAAAATAAAAAGAAACAGGACATCTTGTTAGAATCCCTCCAAAACCGAGTCCGCGTTATTTTCCCCGTGTTATTTTCCCAAAACAAAGTCTCTTTCATTCCTATTTCTATTTTATTTTTGTTCCAAAACTCAAAATCACCTCGTCTCTTTCCAGTCTTTCGTTCTTTTCATTTCCAAAATTTTTGTTTCATTTCCAGAGTCTCTCCATTGGGTAAGCATAAACCCTAAACCAATTGTAGTAGGTAAGCTTTCCAGTGATTGTAGCTTCAATTTTGATTTTGATTTCTCTTGGAACCTGATATTCATTTTGATTTTGATTTCTCAGATTTTGATTTCTTGTTATCCTTTGTGTCTTCTCCTTCGAATCTCATCAAGTACTGCAGATATCTTCTGAGATTTTCCAAATCCGCTGTTTATGATTCTGAAATTTGAGAATTGAATCCGATTTCAACAAATGATGAACATTTGGGCGGTGGCGATGAGATGGTCGTAACGAACCCGGTCGTCTGGTTGTGCAGGAAACAATCGAGGGAGGTGGGAGGTGTGGTTGAGCTGCAGCCTTGTGCTACGCTTTAGCTCCGAGTATATCTCTTTCTTTCAGATCTCCTACGTTTACTTTTTCATTAGATTCATGTCTTTTTGTCTCCTGTTTGCTTTATCATTTTGGTGGAGTTCTCTGGCATTGGAAACACTAGATATTCTTTCTTCACTTTCTGCATGTGGTTTTTTGTTTCCAATTTCAACTTTATATTTGTTCTTTTGTGATTTAGTTTCGTGATTTAGCTTTAGTTTCGAAAGTTGCTGTTAAAGGTTTTGTGATGTTTTCCAAGTTCAATATTAGCGTGTTGCTGGTCGTTACTTTATTTTCTAAGTTCAACAGCATCGTAGTGGCTTGTACCTTTATTTTCTTATTTAACGTAAGCTTAATGTGAATTGAATTCTACGTTGGTACAGGCCATTGACACTTGCTTAAGCAGCAAAGCTTAGGAGAACAACAGCTGTTAAATAGAAGGAACTTTCAATTTGTAAGTCTATTTCTCAATTTTGGTCATTATTAATTGAATTCTGTGTTGTATGAACTTGTTTGTTTGCTGATCAATCCGCTGTTTTCCTCCCCTTCTGATCAGTAATTTCATCTCTTTAACTTTTGGCTTTGATGTTATGTCTTAAGATCATTTCATTTCCTTTTTCTTGATCTGTATGTTTACATGCTTCCTTCTTCTCCCGAGGTTTTTTCTGTTTCGTTTGTCGGAACTTTTGCAGCCTCATTGTCATTGTCTTATCTCCGTTCTGTATTCACCAAGGGTAGTTATTAATATTATCTCATTATGTATAATGTTTTAGAATCTAACAAAGCAGCTGTGTGCAGCTCATTGATACAATATACCTTTAAGCTGTTAGATTTTTATTTTTTTAGGTATTAAATTAATTAATTTCACATTGAATTTGCACACATAAACTTCAGTTAATTGATATTTCTAGTGGATGCATTGGCATTGTTTGCTTTTGGAAAACTTTAGTGTTGGATGCAGTGTTGGTTTTGTCAATTTGTTGTTTGTCTGCATATACTAAGGCCTTCTGTTCTTACTACTGTAGTACTGTATGATTATTTGACGAGTGGATTCTGTGAGCAGTTTTAATTCCTGGGTCTGCTGTTTATGGATTCAGAAATGATGGGTTTTGTCACATGTTTGGCTAAAGCCAATGGGTCCTGAACTATATTTAATAGTAGTAGTTAACCAAGTTAAGGCCAAATGGATTTTGTTAATTATATGTTCTTTTAACAATTAGTCTTTGGACAGCTTTCGCATATAATTAACCAAGGTATGTCATGTCCTGAACTACTATTTAATAGGCATCAGTTCTACTCTAACCATATTGATTAGTTGCATATTTTTAATATCTTAATCGATCTTCATAATCAAATCCTTTAGGTATTTAGCTATAAGCATGTAAGTTTAAAATTCGTTAGAAATA